AGAGAGAGAGAGAGAGAGGGTCACAGAGTCACAGAGCCTCTCTCTCTGTCTCTCTCTCACACACACACACAAACACGCACACGCACACACACACACACAGAGAAAGAGAGAGAGGGAGAAAGAGAGAGGAAGAGAGAGGGAAAATGTCTTGAAAAGATGAGTCTACACCAGCAGGAAAATGTTTCCTTCCTTCCTTTCCCCCTCATGTTACAGGGCGAGGGGAGGTGAACAGGAGCGGATCTGGGATCCAGGGAGTGTGGCCCAGAGACAGGGGGCTTCTGTGTGGGGACAGCCTCCACACAGTGCATGTGTGATGCCAGTAGGCGCCGCTCCGTCTAGTCCCAAGGACTCAGAACCCCTGCATTCCAGAGGCTGCAGCCTGCCTGGTTGACAGGGGTCTGCTCTGCTGCTGGTTTCTGTGTTCTTTGCAACTGAGACCTAGTCCTGCAGCCTCTCCTCATGGAGACTGTGCGAGCACTCCGTCCCCTCCATGAGATATGCTCCCTTTGTCTTGGGATGGTACTAGGTTTGAGCTCTCCAACACCAAACTTACTGGGTCCTAATATGAGGCTTCAAAAAGAGTTTTTGTCTTTCAGACACGTCTCATGTAGCTCAGGCTGAATCCCACTCACTATGTAGCCGAGACTGAGCTCGACCTCCTGAGTGGTGGCCTGTGCCACCATTCATACAAGTGACGATTCTTAAAGGGCCATTTGAGGCAAAGGTGTGACTCAGGCTGTGTGCATCTGTACTTCCATGGAAAATAAAGATGTATTTGTGCATGTGATTCTCTGGAGCCCATTGAGACTGTTTTATGATGACCAAAAGTGTCCAGGGTGTTTGCCTTGTCCAGCACAGCCCTACCCTAGTGTTCTTGTTGTTATTATTATTAGTGTGTGTATGTGTAATGTGTGTGTCAGTGTGGGCATGTGCATGCCATCGGCATGTGTGTGGAGGTCAGAGGACAACTTTTGGAAGTCAGTTCTCTCTCCACTGTGGTCTTAGGGATGGAAGTGGTCAAGGTCATCAGACTTGTATGGCAAGTACTTTTACTTACTGAGCGATTTCATGGGGCCTATACTAGCATGTGTGTGTGCACTTGTGGGTGTGTCTGTGTGTATGTGTGTGTATGTGTGTCGTGTCTGTGTGTATATTGTGTGTCTGTGTGTGTATAT